GCAGTGCTACTTACTGAAGTATCTTTAGCCCATTCCCAAAGGGGGCACATTACTCATGTTCTTATGCACAGTAGAACTGTAATTGTAAATGGGCTGATTCATCAATGTCATGCTCATATCTGTGCCTGAACTGCAACAGGGAACTGCTGCTTTTTCTTTCCTAACCCTTACTATCGTCATTTTCCCTCTACTTCTTTGTATGTTTGTCTCACTCTTGTGACCCGCTATTTCCGGGGTGCCTTGATAGTCGAAGCAGACTTTGTGCTGTTGAAGCTAGAGAGGTGAGTAAGGTAAGCCTGATTCCCTGTAAGGACTTCTCTGTTGGCATCCACCCCTTGGCACTCATATGACCTTATGCAGTTGCGAGCGCCGTAAAACCTCTACTAAAACAAATACCCATCCTCACACTCACACACACACACACACACACACACACACACACACACACACACACACTCACACTCACACACACACACTCTCTCTCTCTCTCTCTCTCTCTCTCTCTCTCTCTCTCTCTCTCTCTCCAACCCCACCCCCAATATCCATCAGACGTTGATTTGTTTTAGAGAGGGATGCACATCCGTTAAAACACATTTGATTGCATTTGCATTATTATATAGTTCAAAACTGGTAGTAGGCCATGTTTTTATGCACGTACGTGCGTGTGTAGCCTATAGACTGTTCATGTATGATGTATGTGTGGTGTGTGTATGTGTGTGTGTGCGTGCGTTTGTGTGTGTGTGTGTGCGTGTAGGTTAGGCCTATATATGTGCCCTGTGCGTATGAGTATGAGTATGTGACATGTGTGCATGCCTGTTGAAAAGAAAAAAAAGGGGGGGTGGGGTGGATGCACTAAACATGTAACGTCTTTTAAAGTCTTTATTATACTTTATACATTATATATATGGATGCTTTGTAAGCCTAAACCACGAGGCCTACATTCTGCCCCACCCATTGTTTGTACAGAGAGATATATAAATAAATAATAGGTAGACAATATGCCACCTGTAGCCTGTAGAGAAAGTGCTACTGGTCTCTCGCCTCCCCCTCCCCCTCTCTCTTTTCGTCTCTTTCTATTTCTCTCTCTCTCTCTCTGTCTCTCCGTCTGTCTGTCTGTCTGTCTGTCTCTCCCAGGCTCTCTGACTCTCTCCGTCTGGTTTTCTTCCCACAGCCCTCCCCTTCTCTGTCTCTCTGTCCCCCCCCCCTCTCTTTCTCTCTCTCTGTCT